TTCTAACATGTGGAATGGCTGCAGAGAATACCCAGTGGTAGTTGTGGAGAGACAGGAGTGTTGCCCAACAATCTGTGCGTGCAGCAATGTGTGCAGTATCAGCATTTTGCTGGAGTGTACCTTTTCATGTTAGGGTGTGGAGAAATTTCTAACAGGATAGAAAAACCAGCTCTGAGATTGCTTGTATGCATGGGAAACAGACTTTCTGTTGAAGTGGATTTCTTTCCACGGAAAATGGGATTAAATTAGTTGATGTAAGGAGTTGATACACTGTCAAAAGTACCTGCCTTGTTGAAGAGATTTGCATGGAATAATGACTTGAAAATTAGGCACACTTGCCCTGTGAATAAGGTATTTGTAGTAAAACCACAGTACTTTTTAAAAACCTAATTTTGCAGCATAAGCACAGGTCTCTGCATTTATAGCCCATGAGGGTTTACCAACAATTATTCCTTCCCTGTTGCTTCCTGAAGAGAAATGATCAGTTTCACTGATTCAGAATGCAAATAATGTAAGGAATTCATATCTCTTCAGGTTTGGTTTGGAGTTTTTTTTGACTCTGACAGTTGAGTATTTTATCAGTAGCCTTTTATAGTCACATCTGCTGAGATTGCCACTTGACTTGAGAAAATCCCAGACTGAAACATCAGGTTTTGTGAAGATACATGGAGGTAGTTGACAGCTGGAAGTTGGACACAGAGGATTCCTGACTGCAAAAAGGGAAATTCTGCCTTCAATGAACACTGTTAGCAAGAGGCTCTTCTAGCAGTGTATCAGCTATTTTTCATGTTGCTTTCTAGAGTAGCATGTCTGTGATTATTAATGATTCATCCAGTTGCTCTAATAATATTATTTTTTATACTGGAGAAGACATGGTATTAATTGGAGAACTTGTGCTCCAGGATAGTGTCAGAGCACCCTGAGAGGAGCTCTGGCTCAGGAGAAGGGATGTGCAGGGATGGGCTGATCACCATGAGCAGTCTAGGATGCAGATTGTTGGGCATTTTATTTGACTCATTTAAATTTTCCAATAACTTCGTTGTTTTAGATCAGCAGTCATGACTCACCGTTTGGAGTGTCACTGTATAAAAGGAGTGGTGAAAAATGAGACAGATTTGCATAGAGAAGTAATTAACTCGTAAGTCAATTTGTTGCTGCCCATCTTACTTTGCATCTTTACCTCTAGCAGGAGTAAGGAGAAGGTTCAGATCTGCTTTTCTTATGCCTCAAAATTTCTCCAGAAAGAGCCTTTCAACAGGTTTAGGACCATTCACACTAGGATTGCAAACAGAATTCAGCAGATTGGGGAATTATATCCATACATTTATTTTTTCACCAAGCACTTGCTTAAAAGTATTCTGCAAGTAAGAATAATATGAAATTATATTTATAACCCTTTCAGAAATATAATGAAATGTGGAGGCCTTTTCACACTGGAGTTGTGCTGGACTCAGCAGGATTTTGTAGGTTAATTAAGACTGCAGTGCTACAGTGAATCTTGCAAATAAGTGTAATGAGTGTAGAACAATTCCTTCCCCTTCACTCACTCCCTTTTCATAGAACATCAAAATACATTTAATTCAAAGGTAAGAAATAAGCAGTACAGTTGAACAACTTAGGAAAAAAATGTAATTTATGAGATTGACATCCAATGTTAATGAAGTTTCATATATGCAGTTTTCTTTTTCTGTCCATTGCTTAGTTTTGGCTGTTTGGGGCTGAGCAGTAGTGGTGAGATAACTCAGCCTCTGCACATGGATGCTGAGCTTGGTGTCTAGTGCATCATTAAAGGTAACAGTGGGAAAGTGTATATACTGCTAAAGCCACCTGTGTGATATGTTTCCCTCTGTCCTTTGCAGTTAGAGTTGTGTTTATCTTTCAGGATCCTCTGTAAGCTTATCCCAGGTGAGTGAGAGGGAAGAGCTTTCCTGGTTTGCAAACTGTAATTCCTGTCCTTAGAACTTGATTAAAATTAGTGCTATTGGATACTTTTCTTCATGTCATATCTCACCGATGCCATGCCATGGTTTTCAAGATTGTTGTTACGTCACTAAGACGGGGAAAAGAGCAAACATTTTTTCATGGAAAATCAAAGGCAAAAAGCAGAGCAAGTGATGACTTGCCTGAATCTC